CGGTTATATCTTCAGTTCCGCACTAAGGATGTATCCACTACCACCAATAATTCCAAGCTAACACATGATGATAAAAATACAGCACTAAATTCGATCAAGAGTTAAAACTTGCATGAGATGTGGGATAGATGGCCGGATGGAGATTTTGAACTTGATATTGACCACACCACATTTGAGGCTACGCAACCAATACTTAAGAAACAGCATCGGCAAACTTAATAACTCAGTTTTACCATTATATTGGAACTTGATTAAAATTTATCAGACTCTTCTTTAGATATATCATTTAATTTCAAGTATATTATGGAAATATTTCCGGATTATAAAATTTTTGAAACATAATTGATGTAGGAGTTAATATTATAACTATCAGAAGAGTATAATAACGATGTACTCTCACAAAACAATGATATGCACACCTGCGTGGTGCCTGCGTGGCGTGCGTGGCGGCGTGGTTGCGTGGTTGCATGGTACGCCAGCGTGGTCACTTGCGTGGTCCAAGGTTTATATCCAGAAGAAAGTATATTGTTCATATGTTTAGACTGAATAGTTCCTTCGGTTTTCAGGCGGTTCGTGCGGATTTTATGTCAGGATTATGTCTATAGCAGTATACTAGTGTTAGTTAAAGACTTTTGAGCGATAAAAAGGGAAAATTAGGCATCTTTGACATTATTACCTTCTCTTAATTATAGATATGTAAGTGTACGATACAAACATACCTTGGAAACATAAACCTAAAGCTGGAAAGTTTTTAATTGACTATCACGAAGCACAGTAACATTTAACATCATTTTTGATAAATATCGGAACTGAGCCTAATTGCGACCTGTGAATTGTGGAGGACATGTTAATGATGAGCAAGATATACTCTATTATCATTAAGAAACATGTAAAGTAAAGTCAACTAATAAGTCACTTCAACTAAGGGTTGAACTTGCGCGGCGCGCAAGCATGGTACCACGCAGGTGACCACGCTAAATTTCTAGTGCCCCCAGCCAAGGAGAAAGAAAGGACGGATAATCGACAGAGGTGGACAATAAAAGTGATAAATCTGAGCAATGTGACCATAGGAAAACGGATCTCACGCACAGAATTCAGATAGCATTATTTCGGAAGTCGAAGAACAGAACCCCTCAGCTGCAAGTCATTGAACGGAGTTTATCTGATGCTAGGGTAGAGGTAGGTCAAAGACACGACATGGTGTAGATACCCTAGGTAATCTAGAAGAAAAGGCGAGAAACGGCGCATATGTACGCAGTCCGAAGGCGTTATATTTCCATACCTCATTTGGGCCAAATACTCCCAAACATTAGCATTTTTAATGATGCACGAGAACAACTAATGTCAACCTTCAGGCACAGTAGTGACCAGCTTGGCGGAAAGAAAATGAAAAAGAAAGCACTCGGGCTTCGGAAGACTCATCGAGTTCGTTGGCCTGGAAATGCCTGTAAATGCCCGGTGGAAGATATTTCTGATGAATGATCTCGTCGGGATGAGAGGTAAAGATATCTTGCGGAGATCAATATGAAGGGACATGTAGGGCCTTGTTATCTGGTATCGGGAAGTCCCACGTTTACGTTCGATATCTGACTAAGAAGATAGCGAACCCCTCATACTGGCGTCCTATATGAACGTTGAGAAAATATGGTAAGACGAACGCATTGGAATCAGACTGGGAAATTCTTCGATATCTCGTCTATCGCTCCAGAGTATACATTGAGCCTTGACGCAGCCGAATGTAGCACTTGTGATTCAGTGCGTAGATATTGCATGCATGAGCTTTTCGTTTTGTGGGCGGTTCGATTCCCATTGAAGCTGTACTGATGTGGGCAATGTTTATCCAAGAATACCATGACGTCATTTATCCCAGATATCTATCGTAGGACAATCGAACAACATATTGTGTGGCATCCTGGCGGAATCAGAATGTATATATCATTTTGATCCCAAGGGAATATGAGTGCCTTCCTGCACCGTGCACGCAATGCTTACCCTCTCCTCGTTCGTCATTCATATGGAACGACGCTGCAAAATCGGAACAATGGGGCAGAATTATCGACGGGAGACGAAGAAAAGCAACCTTGGGAATGTCAGTCAGACTTGGTGGCCCTCTCGATGGCGTAATGCAGTATTCACCAAGCGATGGGGGCTTTCCATGATGATCTCGACTCTAAAACAGTAAGTACGGAATCATTTACCGCAATATCCTGAAGAACTCGCCTTTGATAGCCACTCGAGATTCAATAGTGAGAACCAAAAGTGCGAATTGTTTGATTTGTGAATGCGAACTATATCCTTCATAACGTATCACGATGGGAAGAACATTCGAGAGACTGTAAAAGTTGGGTAAGCATTTTGCCAATGTGGAGTATTTCAGCCGACAGGGATATATCTCGGTCTTCAAGTGACACGTAACTTTTCTCTTCGTTGTTCGCTATGCTAACATTCCAACGTTAAGCTTTTTATTCTCCAACAACTGCCTGCCTGTAATAAAGTATCAGGCGTCGCACAAAGCCAGCAAGACATCCCATTGAACAGGCATGAATACGCATCCCTTCCGCTGTTTTTAGAAAGCTCCGTTCTAATTTCCAGTACCAGGGTTACATGAGGATAGGATACGAAGTCCTATGATTCTAAGTGAATCGAAAACATAAGGGAGGTTACTTGAATGGGCACTCCAGCGCCTATAGAGTACATAAACACTGCAGCTATCCCTTGCAATCATCATCAAAGTGCCAGGTTTCGCCTTTAGAGAAGACCGTTAAGTTCCTCTTACCCATGGCGAAGTGCGATAGGGAGACAGAAAAAATCCTCCAGCGTTAATTTAGCAAAGACGGAAAGAGAAGCCGGATTAGCTAAAGTAAACATCTCATCCCGTACGAACCTCCGACTGGGCCAGACCTTCGTAAGCTCGTGCCCACACAGACGCAGCACTCTAGCTCATTGGCCAGTGTTGCATTGTTGTGTCTGGTAAATTTTCTATGATTTCAATGTTCGTTGAGACACAAAGTCCACGCCGATATACTAACATTGATTCCCAACACCCGTTTTTGAGTTGCCTTGGGATATTTTTCACTGGGTTGTCGGTTTCCAGCATATTTCGTTGAGAAAGTGATAGCCTCCCACAGGTTACGCTACGATACCTCCGTTTACGCCAAGTGGAAAGTTACCTGTCAAAGTATTTACTAAACATTATATTTCCGGAAGAAAGTGAGGCCTTTCGGAGCCTATAAATGACCCACCCTACTGACCTGCCTTGATATAACCAAAAAAGAAGGCATTCGTTAATAGCAATAACGCCACGTTATATATCTGATGGTGGTGGGCGGTCTCGAGATGGTAAAAAGACTTAATAAGAATCCAAGCCGTACTCATCTCCTTTTTCCGGTACAGAAGGAAAGATGCGAGGTATTCTCCTGTGGCTGGTCCTTGACGACTGCATTGCCCTTGTACAGATTTAGTACCTCAATTTAGCTGCGGGGGCTGTTTCCGCAGTATATACGACAAGCGGAAAGCTGCGGTAAGCCTAACTCGACGAGGGAATTCGTACATGGTAGCGTGAAAAGCATAACGTTCTCTGTCAGTAACACTTCAGTACGTGGGGTAGATTTGATAACTGCGGGGCGCCAAGTACTAGTTATTTAACGTGATGGCCAAGTCAGGTAGACGTGGTAAGGAAAGCTCAGTTTAGCGGCTAGAGTGCGCCATGTATGTAGATCAGTCTTTCGATTCTCAGCGAGAAGGAGGGTGGTATCTTTTATCTTTGGCTGGTAGTTAGATACAGGAATCGGCATCATGGATTTCACCAAGATGACGAATTACTTGAAAGAAAAGTTCGGGCCACTGCAGTGCTGTAAGAGAAGGGAAAAACTTGTATACAGTATGTATATACTACAACTTGAGTAGAATAGTACGACGTACAAAGTTAGGTAGATAAGTAAGTAAGTATACACAGAAAAGACTTATGGTATGAAACAGGGTACAAGTTATTATGCGCTAAAGATGGTTACCTCCGGTCGGAATCGCTATAGCGCCGAGGGGGGGATGGAGATGGCGGATTAGGTGGAGGATAAGAAGAGCTAGCAGATGAAGAAGGTACGGCGGATGAAGAGGGTAACCCCGATGTGGAGGTAGATGGGATTGGCGGTTGTGGATAAGACGAGTAAGTCGGCGAGGAGCGGGAATACGGGTAGGGGGAATACGGCGAGTACGAGGACTGATATGGTGTGCTAAAAGCAGATCCGGGGCCGGTATACCTCCGAGGCGGAGGTGGCTGCGGTGGAGGCGGCGAGAACAGCGCTGACGTCCGCCCAGGACCAGGAACGTCAGCGCTACCAAGTTTTTTGGCTGAGTAGGCGGGGAGATGAACGGCGGTGGTCCAGGCTGGGGATGAGTCTGGGATTGTGATTGTGTAAGCCTCTCAACTAGAGCTTCTAGGTGCTCCACCCGCGCCTTCAGTTCGTCGTACTCGGCCCGAGTCGCGTACTTTTCAGTCGGCTCGACTATATTCCAGAGGCATTTGCTTTGCTCTCCCCGCCTAATACATGGCGCACACGGCTGGTTCCTATCACATCTGATCTTGCGGCGCTTACATTCTACCAATCGTGAAATCAGTATTTCAATAAGACTTTATCATCTCAATAATGCAAACGCACCTGTACAGCTCAGCGCCTGCCTCTTCCTCTTCCTTTTCTTCGGCTCGTCGCCTCCACTCTCACCACCATCACCTTCGCCATCACCAGCAGAGGAGGACGGGAGATACGGATGCAGCTGTCGAATGGAGGGTAGCATCTGTAGTCATCCTACATTGTCGTCGTAGTATAAAAGAGAAAACCTGAAACGTTAAAATAGCCTTTTCCGGTTTATCTCCGTCATGATGTAATCGCGCGGTTCAAACGGATCTTACATCGATTATGGACGATCGATTATGGGATGATGCCGAAATGGAAGAATGCTGCTTCAGGGATGGATAGAAAAGCTGACCCAAATTCAAGCCGTGTGCTTTGATGGTTAAACGGTGATTATGTTTGCCTTCCAGGTCCCCATCCTAAATATTTAACTAGTAAGCGGTAGGGGTTCAACTCCCCTTCGGCATATATTCCGATAAACCTATAAATTTTAGTCAAATTCCCGGCAACTAAATCACCCCATTAAGCTCCGGCCGTGACCGGTTCACCCCTGATCCGTACCTAGCTTTGAGATCACGGGACGCTTCCTTCTTTTGTGTTCTTCTCTTCCTCCACCGGATTCTCTCTTGTTCCGCATAGGAACGTCTTGTCTTAATGACTTCCGGCGGTACCTACAAAAAGAAATCCGCTAATCTCCGATAAATATCTTACTCCGCGAGCGAGCCTCGTGTTCAGGGCAAAACGGAACACGCCTCTTTCGTGTGTATACCGTACACTCACGTTCTCCTTCGTGCGAGTATCCTTGCGGTTAACACGTTTATTCCATAAAAATATCCTCGGATACGCTTCCATTACTCCATTATCCTTCACTATCTGCTTCTGTTTCCACGGCACCGCTGGACTAAACCTGAATCAACTTTAAGAACTCTCGGACTTTGCCCTGGAAGTGGCTGTATCAATGATTGCACTTGCTTGACCCTTCGCCACTCCACTTCCCCTCTCCCAATGCCGCTTGACTTGTGTCTCCGTCAATGCGCCTCACCCTCCTTTGATAGACTCTAGAATCACCAACAAAATTGAATCATCAACACTGTCATCTTCGGATCGACCTTGAACGTTATTTTTAATTATACGCTGCCGAGGATCACCTTCTTCTCTATCCTAATTCCCCGTTTCCCTGCAATCACAATGCTCAAACTATCACGACGCCTTGACTTTTTTTTTTGTTCCTGATTCCTCATCAGCCCTACTCGCACCGAGAACCGAAATTACCTATCTCAAAAAAAAAGCATGTCTCTTGTTCCCATGCCGACTACAGACCTGTGACCTCACGTATTACCCAACCTGTCCGGTACGTTCTCTCGGTTCGGACATCTCGGTCTTGAGCCATTCATTATTTTTGGGATAACTTCTGCACGACGCGCACCGCAAAGGACTTTTATTCTCGTTACTCGACATATTAAATGAGTCATCGGTTTTCGACTTTCCTACACTTAGACCGAGTCTTTCATTAAAAGGCCGGGTTTTCATGCCCAGAATCTACATATTTTCGTTGTACGACATGTGCTATCCCCGTCGTGATCTTACTTTCGGTTGCGAATCAGGGTACTAAGGAGCGACGATCCGAGATAAGATGCAGCACGGCGACCAGGAGACAGGTCCCCGATCATCCAGATATGCGCGTTCCCTTCTTCTGAATCCACCGCTATTCACCAGAAGAAGAATGCAAGAACACAGTTAATCTCTTGCCCAACTCTTTTGCCTAGACGTTCAGTCCTTTTCTGCCGGTGAGGGAATCGAATTGGACTGGTAGTATTAAACACCTCATTGTAACAGAGCAAATTCGCAGACTGCAGGGCTTACTTTGACTCTGCAGGTTATGATTACATAGAGCGTTATAAATTTTCTCGCCAGGGACTCAGAGAAACTCTTCCACAACACAGATTGACGCAACGACCGCCTCAAATTTTATAGTTCCCTTACAAGAGCAGGATCACATACTTTCACACTCCCCTTGTCACGCACATACGCCGTCACCAAACAATAATCCAATCGTTCCTGACCCTAGTCGCCGCTCTCTATACCTCGCTTAATCGATATTCTTCTCGCTAATCATTGACACCTACCAAACAGAACATGATGCCCTTCCCGCTATCATCGGCAGGTTTCTTCATTTCATTCGACTCTATTGCGTTAGAGTGCGGATATGCGAGTGTAACGGGTTGGGTGTGAGCTAGCGATTACCAACTGCATGTCCGAAAGACCCTACTCAACGAACAAATGTGACGTCCGAGCTAGCGATGGAGTCTAGATCTTTATGTAGTTGTAATCCGCTCCCGCTCGCTCGCTCTCGTCATTACGTTTTCTATAGGGTCTACGGGACCAAGCCGTCAAGTTGGGGGTGCGTAAAATGTCGATATTCAGTTTTCACTCGAAAAACATTCCTTAATAACGTTTCACCCATGTCGAGTGCATTACCTTTGAATATAACTACCGTGGTGGCAGGATCAGGAAGAGCGGTGCGGCGATTACTCTCTATTATTGATCAAGGCCAGTCGGAAGGAAGGCTCACAAATGTGACACTCGGCAGTCATTGAACAAAAGTGTCATTTCGATTCACACTTTCTTGTCAACACGGTCCTATGCTCGCCCAGAAGGATAATTGCTGAAACACAAGGAACATGGACTTGAAACCTTCTTCAGTGACATGATCCAACCGAATGACACTACCAGCCTTCTCACGAAAGGGCAACGTCTGTACCGCGGAAAAGAGAGAACGGAAAGTTCGGCTGGTATCGCGTATTTACATTTGTTGAATCCAGCGACCCTCTTTACCTTCTCCGTCCATCTCTCCTGTAATAGTTATCACTCACATACGAAGCAAGACTTCGCCATGGGAGCACAAGGACCCTGTTCATGCAGACGAATTTGCTCTGTTATCTCTAGGATCTTCATCACGGCACAGTTGCAAAAGAAAAAACGAAAATTTCACTGAAAGATGATCGATACGCGATCTTTCACGATCCTTTTCTTGCTTTCTTTCTCATGTCGCTTTCCATCAGCGTTCTGCTCTGCACCTCACCCTCGCCTCCTTCCTCTCATCCCCCCTAATCACCAGCGCATTCATATCATGAACGTCTCACTACCTTCGGATCAACGTTAGCCAATTATATCTATGTGATCAAAGATCTGACATTCGAAGCGCAAGTCCGAATTCTGCGGAGAACGTCCTCAAGGCTCGCCACTTATTGCCTCCCCCCTTCTGGTTTATCCTACATTTCGCCGCAGTCTTTGCTTTTTCCCACTCAACTCGCCTTGACTGGGGAAAGCACTGTAAATGTATGACATCTGGTCGCAGGACTGAGCTGACTAGCAAACCAGTTATTATTTTTGGTACATTCTTTCGATCTACATGTCTTGACATCGAGCCTTTATCTTAGTCTGTGTAGTGGATACCGTGCCGCAGAGAGCTTTATCCCATTATCCCACGATGAATACTGTGATAAGTATTCGTCTTCCTTACCCATTCAGGAAACCGGTTCGGTCGTCAAGACTAGAATCCGCGTAAGGTTATTGTATTTTCATCTCCGGGTTATCACGTTCGCATGAGTTAGCCTTTGGTGCACAAATCAGGGTAGAGGAGTGGTGACCAGGCGAGAAGTCCCGGATCATCCACCATCATAATGAAAGAGAGGCGCGTGTCCTTCTCTGATTATGCCGCAGTGGACTTGAAGGAGAACAGGAGGACACGCGTTTGATGTTGGTTTTACTGGTTTGTTTGTGGGTTGATGGGATGGGGCATTTATCTGATTCGAAGGAAATTCCTACAGACAAAATATGCTAAAGTTCTTGTCCTCGTAATAACGGGACTACGAGTCACTACTACTTTCTCTCCCCGCCGTTAAAAATCGTACATCTAACCTCTTCCCACAATCCCAGTCTTCCACCGAATCTCAGCCAATGTGTTTAATTCACCTGAATGTGTTCGTAGTTCCTCCCGTAAGCAAACGAAAATATTATTCCTGCTATTGTGGATAGATTTTCTCGTTGAATTCTATTGTAAAAGATATATAATCCAGATTGTGTGTGAGCTAAATATTAATCCACTGCAGGTCCGAAAGACCCTACTTGATGAAGGGATGTGACGTAGTCAAACTGCTGCATAATCACGCGCCTCTCTTTCATTATGATGGATGGGCCCGGGACATCTCCCACCTGCTCATCACTCCTCCACCCTGATTCGTTCCCCAAAAGCCAAGTCACGAGAACGACCCTGAAACGAAAATACCCTACGCTGATTCTAGGCTTGACGAGCGAACCAGTTTCCCCAATGGGGAAGAAAGACAAGTACTTATCACAGGAACAAGATAAAAGTTGTCAGTGGTACGGTAACCCACTGCACAGCGTAAGGTAAAGAACTCAATGTTGAGATGCATATGTGTGGATCGAGAGAACATACTAGACACTCTTAGTTACGAGGTCGCAGCTCGAAGATGCCACACACTTACAATACTCTCCACAGTTAATAACGAGGAAAAATGAGCCCAGGGGGAGAAAGAAAGGACTATCGCAAAGTGTAGGGTTAGTCGAGGGGGTAGGCATTAGCTGATGACCTACCTGGAGTACACAGTCCGAAGAATTCGGACTTGGACTTCAGAAGTCAGATCATGAGATGGAGATAGGTATACTTGGATAACGTTAATCCGAAGCTAGCGGGGGCGTCCATGATTCATATATTTACACACCTGGCAGGTGACTAAATTGTGCCGGTCAAAATTCAAGGGAAAAATCAAAATAGAGATGAGAACTCTTTTAATCACAGAATAATCCATCGCTTTTACCATTAATGAGAATCCCAACTCACTATCCTGTGGTCAAGAGACTTTGTCGCAATTTCATTTGTTATCCACCCATTTTTTCCTATTTTTGCTAAGCCCGAAATAGGTGCTTACCATGAGTGCATGCTTGTGATTCCAGAGAATGAGAGGAAGGAGGCGAACGTGAAGATTAGATTGGGAAGTGAGATGAGAGAGCAAGAAAAAGGACGGTGGGAGGTCATACTTTTAATCACCTTTCTGGGACCAATTCAGGATTATGTTTTTGTGCTTTTGAGATTTGATCTGTATGGCATCCGTGACGAGGGTCCTAGAGACAACGGCTCTCCCCCTTGTGAAATATTGTATTTAGTACCTCTTCCCACCATCCTGATTTACCCCCTAATTCGCATCCGTGTTCCTCCCGTATGCAAACGGAAATGCTATTCTTGCTATTATGGGTGGGTTTCCTCCTGGGACTGTATTGTTGAACTCAGGATATGTGGTGCGGATTGTGTTTGCGCTGGGGATTACCCACTGCATGTCCGAAAGACCCTACTCAATGAACAGATGTGACGTTCGACGGTCTACATCCTTATGGAGATACACAACCGCTCGCTTGCTCCATCGTACCGTTACGTTTTATATAAAATCTACGAGGCTCAAGCCGTCAAGGTGGTGATGTGTGAAACGTTGATATTCAGTTTGCACTCGAAAACATTTCGTAATAACGTTTCACCCATGTCGAGTGCATCACCTTTGAATGTAAATACCGTGGTGGCGGGATCGGAAAGAGCGGTGTAGCGATTACTCTCTGTTGTTGATCAAGGCCAGTCGGAAGGGGGGAAACGAAGGATCAAAGAATGTTAGCTACTTTCTGGTGCCCGTAAAATCCTGTAGAGAGATTTGTCTGACCTCTAATTATTCTCCGAGCCTTCCGCACATCATGTTCTGTGCTCTATAAAACATCTAAGAAAGGACGACATCATTATTACTTAAATGCAAGGAAAAGTTACGCTTCTTCTTGATCACAGTCGAATGAATGGGTGAAAGAGCCATGGTGAAACGTCATCTCTTCTTTACATTCTATGCAGCACTTTGATTACCTTGGGTGTATATGCGAAAGAGGAGGCTGTAAATATTGCTACTTAATCTTCGTAATGTAACCGGTGAGCTATAAGAATCACGCGTTTTATGTATCTCTGGACGTCCCCCCTCGTCCCTGTTAATGAATTTTGCTCTCCCGCAAAAAAAAAAATCCGGCTTCTCGGAGAATCCAACAAGAGAAGAAAATAAACTATGAATAAATGCGAAGAATGCGACACTCAACTATTGAATCCAAGTGCCATGTCTATTCACACTTTATTGTCAGTAGGATTGTATCTGTCCTATGCTCTCCCAGAAAGATACGTCACTGAAACACAAGTAATATAGACTTGAAACTTTCTTCAGTAAACAAGGCAAAGAGTTGACACACGTTGCCTGATCTAACTAAAGTGTTACGTCCATATGATGGAAGAGAGAGAATGAGTACAGGACGGTTCGGCCGGTATTGGGTATTAACATGTGTCGAATTCGGCGACTCTTCTTACCCTCTCTATCTATCTCTCCTGTTACAGTTATCACCTACATACAAAGCATTACTTCGCGTCTGACGTTTATTCCGAGTCTCGCCTTCCTCGTCATCCATTGATTTACGCAGGGCTCTGTAAAATAAGAGAAAGGACTACCATCAATTATGTTCGATACCAACAAATCGTGCCTCAACGGGAATCGAACTGAAAAAAGATAACCCACATTACGAGACATTAAATACAACACTGAGCCGCTAAGCTAAGGTGTTACAGTGGTATTACGTTTGTGTAAAATTAGAAAGGTACAATGGGAAGTACCAGCCCGACACATTGTTTGTGTCTATTCATATCGCCGGGCCTTTATCTTTTTCCTTCTTGTCACCTTCAACCACTATCTCCATTCCACCAAAACTATCCCCTGCCGCCGGCATGTGATTATGCTGCGTTTCAAGGAACTACGTCAAGGACCCTGACTTAGTCGAAATCTGCTCGAAAGTAACGGTGGTGAATGAAGACCTGCAGAGCCTAGTAATGTAATTGTATGTAATCGTATGTCTGCCGTTTCATTCAAACCGTTCGTCGGCCTGCTAACATCTGATCATATTATATATTAATGTAACTACCGTGCTGAATACGAATGCTTGTCTATCTTATCGAGAGATAAGGAATACCTCTACTCCAAGTGTCTTTCCCCAAGGCTATGGACTTTGTCCAAGTAATATCTACGTGATAAGACTGCCGAGTCGCTTGCTTGAACGTATATTTTTCTCCGAGGAACATTCCCAGACGGCCCTTGCAGCCCTGTTGTATTCTAGTCCATATCTCAAATTTGGGAGACTTCTCTCACTTTCACTAACTGACATCAGTTCTCGTAAGCTAGAGACAGACTTTGCACACAATATATTTAGAGCCTTTACTTTACATCGTTGTTACCCACACCACGATGCGTCTTTTCGCCTATCACACCAGCCCTTGGATATAATGATATCTCCCATGTCGCTCGACGAAACCGAACCAGGCAGGTCCCGCTGCGGCTGTGCATAAACGTCGCTTGTAACCCGCGTCCTTTGAAGCAATCTTCGGCTACGACTCATGTATCTCCCATTATAACACGCGATTTCATCCTTTGAGAGTGGATCTTATATTCCTCTCATCCACAAGCCCACCTGACGCTAGTTTAGGTCGTGCGCTTCAAGTGTCCTGCTAAAGCAAGACATCCGGGACAGATTTGGTCAAGACACCCCCTTCCCTATTAGTTAGTGCTAAGCAAGGAGTGTCTTGTTGGCTCTGTGAGACTCCTGAAGCAATCACATCCACTGGGGAGTTAGGTAGCAACGTTGTGGTCTGTCCTTTTCGTCTACATCGTTCCAATCCCGGCGGCAGCATATACCGTGCAGGGTATAAACTCTACCGATCGAGGCTTTGTTAACGTCTCCGCTCTAACGACTTGTTCTTGTCAGTGAGCCAGTATAACTGTTCCTAAAATCTTTCTCGAGAAGAAATATGTCACCTCACCTCCCTTGATGGTCCCGCACAGGACCGAGGAAGAGACCCGCCTGATAAAAAACCGAACCTATCCACCATATGGCGACAAAAAACTTACTAATCACGTCCACGCCCTCATCCGTGAGAGTTTCTAATTTCGGTGAATGGCGTTGATTCCTGCTTGCAGGAGATGTACCGCACTCTTAGCCCATCGGCCTTGGAAGTACTTTTTGAGCTTCTGATTACGTTGCGTCATCCCCGCGAGTTGTCATGGATCTTGAGTATCTGTAAACTCGGTGCATGAGTCAACGCATGCCTACACTCGGCCTTCTCGGTCCTAGCAGTGACTCACACATAATTTTCTTTTACTTTCTCTATTCTTCTTGCTCATACTAGAATATAATAGAACATTGTAGAATATTCATGACTCGAGCCTTTTAGTATATAAATACCATCTGTAACCTTGTAGAATAAAGGAATCAAGCTACTCATCTTCAAGTCCACTTCATTGTGTGAACTAAGCATCTGATCGGTTACGCCTAGCGCTTGCCAATCTCCTCGCTTCCTGACTACGCCTAGCGCTTGTCAGAAACCTCATCAGTTACGCCTAGCGCTTGCTGAACAACTCGTTGGATACGCCAAGCGCTTTCCGACACCAATCCGAAGACTACGCCTAGCGCTTGTCTTCATCTACAGCCCATAATAGCTCCGCGCTCACCGGCTGCTTCCTACAGTAACTGCTTCGCACTTACTGACCCCTTTACCTCGCAAACTGGACCTCTCAGGTCTCCTCACGAACCCTTGCCGGAATCTATTCTATTCCCTAACGACATACATCTCTATAACATATCCTACCTCGCTTCGATCATCACTTGTCGCCCCTCACTCTCATATCCTGATTTCGGCAGATTCCTAACACGAGTGGAGACCTAGTCTACAAGGGCGGGTTTCTTTCCACCTGGCCAGATATGTGGAAATCCAAAATTTGCAAAGTGCAATGTATGTCGTCGCATGTGCCGATGATACTCCCCACTGCACGTCATATTCCAATGTCTTCAAATCAATGCTTCCATCCCGGAAACATGAGGGGTAATCTGTGTTTTTCAGCCTCAAGCGGCTGTTACAGGAGATGGTACCGCAATGAATTGCTGTTTTAGAGTTGATTTCAACAATGAAAGGCCTTCTTCGCTTGGTGACTAAGGCGTTACCCCCTTGGAGTTCGGTTCCTGTACAATTTGTATTCTCCCCGCCATGTCATTCCAATTTCACAGGACAGTTTAATATGAATGAGAACCTTGGTGACGAATGAATATTGGGTGTGAGACGAAACACTCCACTTTCTCTCTAGGATAATCATGCTAAAATCGGACATAACGCTATTTGATCGGTTGTTCGACTGCCTTGTGAACGATATCTGGGATAACTTATCGTTTGGTAAGGGCGTTTCCCTACACTTATCAGCGTCTGTATCCACAAAAGCAGTTAGTACGGATTCTGAACGTGTCATAGCAAAGGTGAATGATGAAAAGACAAGTAATGCATGAAAAGAACACCCGAGCCGCTCAATTGGTGTGTAAGGGAGTTGCCGAGGATTATTGAGATGTGGAATAAGGAATAAACGAGCCACTGATTACAAATGTCGTTGGTTGATTTAAAGTAGAATGGTAGATGGTTGGGAGGTGAGAAAGCATCGTCTTATCTGCGCGATTGCAGTACCCGATTAGTTCATCCACTAAACCACAATAATTTAGAACGCCGATGGTGAAACGGTTATCATGCTTGCCTTCCATACCTGATAAAAAGTAGTGTGCTTTCAGCAAGCGGTAGGGGTTCGACTCCCTTTCGGCGTATTGATCTGGATATATATATATATTTCACTCGCGGAACTAAAGACCAGTAACACCTCGTGCTTGGCTCATGAAGGGTCCATTTTTTCGTCTTCCCGTGTTTCCCTGCCAATTTCACCACATTCTCTCTTGTCCCGCCCTCATTCTGCAAATATCATTGAGTCGCAATAGAAATCCCATCCGGCGCTAGCATTCCTTGCTAATCTCCGACATCTTGTTCCGTCAGCCTCATGTTCAGAAGAACAAACACGCCTCCTTATGCGTAATCTTCTTCGCACGAGTATCCTTGCGATTGGCACGTTCTTTCAGCAAGTATTCATTTGTCCTTCTCTTTCTTTCTACCGCACTCCTGATATAATTCCTGAATCATCTGCTCAAACACTCGAACTTTTACGCCTGCTTGACCCTTCTCCACTCCTCACACCTCATATCAATCAGCTTTCTTGTCTACGTCTCACGAACACCTCCTTCGTTTTATCCTTTGTAATTACGGCAAGAATTGAATCCTTTCCATTTTAGCATGAACACTGGTTAATTATACGCAACAAAGGATCATGATCCCTCAAATCTCTCTATGGCTACTTACGAACAGATGCCATCCAAATTCTGCGTGAGTGATGCGTTGAAAATATACTCTCGGTTATACGTTTCTTCCCATACGGTCCTGAATCGCGTAAGGCATGAATACTTCCGAGAAATAATTGCATTTCCACAAGCACAGTCAAGATCTACAGGTCGCGGGCGGTTCGTGTTCCCAATTTGCGGAATGTGTTCCTTCCGCCCGGATATCTAGTTATTATTTTTAGCACTTGGAAGGCAGCGATGTGAAGCCGTTACCCGACTGCGAGTAGAAGTGAATAGGACCTGCAGATAACATAATATCGATCCGGTGAATGTCCGGTCGCCATGAACAGAATCTGCGTACTCTAATCTCCAGTTCTCGTGCTATCTCTGTTGTATATTTAGATTTAGAGGTCCACGTCCATGTCACATTAAATATATGCGAACACATTCATTCTGCCAGAGGCAGAAAAGACTCGTTCGAATAGGACATCTAAACGAAACGAGTCAGAGCCACTCAGCCACTGCACCATTTTCTGATCGCCCTGAATTGAGCTGACTTGAGAATATACCTCCAAAATTGGTACGCGGAGGCCATAATACAATGGAACACCACACTTCAACCCTCCGTGACCTTTGTAAGATCTCTAAAGTACTGACAAGTCATAATTAAGGCGACCAAAATCTACCAGTACGCCTTGTCCTTGTGAGTATAACTAAATCTTATATCCCCCTCCGTATCTGCAAAAGTCATCATTTATGCGATGAATTACTCCCACCGTGTCAGAAGAATCATGCTCAATACGTACACCATATAGATAACCAAAACCTTCTTTACTCTAGCCTCCCGCTCTGTTCAAAACTGCTAGCGTGTCGCTAGGATGAAAGAAGACTTAGTCCCCTTGCAGCTATCACAAGCCATTTTTCCTTCTCAGGTTAGGCCTACCGCGGGTACCGTAACAGTTGGAGGCTATCCGGCGCATATCAAGGTGCGTATAGCAATAGAGTAAGTACAACGTTCCGGGTCAACGATAACTTCCGAGAATGTAGTTATCACACACACACATTTCAATGCAAGTCATCTAGAAATGGGATACACTGCGTATGAGGAAGAGGCTGGGAAGGCCTGGAAAGGTGATACATATTCCTGTTATCGGGTAGGTGCCCTGAGAAATGTATAAGCATCGCTGATGAAAGTTAGACTCAAGATTTGAACCATTATTTCATCACAACATGGGGTAGACTGATAATTCGTGCCTAGGCGGGAATCTGACCAAAATGAAAGCCGGGACGAAGCGGGAAGGGAAGGACCGGCCCACGCTATTTACATCTGTTGATCGGCGTCTAGGCTCGCATTTAACCTTCTACCATCATCCTCTCCCATTGCGCTATTTCACCTCAAACGTGTCTCGACAGATATATTGTCCTCTACCACAGTCTTTCTATCACTATATTCGTTTCCCGTCTGCCTAGAACCAGAACCAGGGCAGGAGGTGAGGAGAGATCAGTGAGTAAGACTTATACTTTGTGCTGCTAGGAAGAACTCTAAACGTGGCAATAACAGAAGTGAACATAGGACTGCAACCATTATAATATGTCGTGTGTATATCATCTGGTACCTGCGATACCGTTTGAATGACATCCAACTAGGAAAGGGGACGGTCGATGCTCTATGATCCTGGACCGTTGTTAAATGACTCACGTCCAGCTCGAATGCTTGAAAACAAGAAATGCGTAGTCTGGTGAGTATTGTCGCTCTCAATATCGGTGGTGAGGGAGTTCCTTGAATGCCGACTTAAGGAACCAAGGTTTACCGCACTGTCAAACCATGAACGAATCAACTTGGGAAGTATCGCGTTTGATTTTGGAGAAAATACTGTGTGCACATCGTTGGATGAGAACGTATATTGTCACCCCTAAGAAACGAATTATATGTCTGTCGTTTTCACCTGAATGGTTCGACGGTGCGCTGACACCTGTAATTACCATGTGGAATGTGAACATGGTACCTTTAAATGTCAGCCAATACAATGCGTAAATGCATGCAGAGACACCCTGGGGCTTCCCTGGGGGTTTTTCTGGAGCGCATCTTGAAGCTCAAAACTGGTGCGTCGATCACGATATACTCAAGGTTACTCCAGGAGACCGCACTGGTATTATGTTCTCATCTCCGCAATGATACCTGTTATCTTCTCTGCTCTGATATTATTTCGAAGGACGCGGACTTGCGTTGGTCGAAGTCATACCAAATTGGCCTCTCACTTTCCTGATATATATGTCACGAAGGAACGAGCAAGCCTAGTCCATTGTAATCAGGAAACAAACCCTACAATCCTTGGTATAACCATGGGGACAAAGTTACCTCGGCCGCAATCATGTCGCGCCGGGTTTTGGATTTGTGAGATCTCTCCAACGTTCAATAGCTGGTATTGATTCCTATTTGCAGCAGACGGTGCTTATATGCAACGGATGCGGAGATATTTTCCTACTTTATTACTGCAGCTATGGACGCGTCTTTTTGCTTATCATTCATCTTTCTGGGATATAACGAGATATTCTGAAATTCTCGTGCGACGACATTAAACTAGCTGTGTTCTCTATTAATCCTATACAACTCGCCGCTATTTTGTATTATTATGAACCAATCGTCGGTCACGACTAAGTGTCTCCCATCATTACTCCTTGTCGGTGATCTTCTTCTCACATGACGCCCGTTTAGATCATTGCGAGATTCAAATGCCATGCTAAACAAAGCATCGCTCTACTCTCTACCGGTCACTGTGTAGCGCAACAACCTCCTTCCTGGTTACCTTTATCTCCACGGGTATGTCGTCTGTATTTATGGTTAATATCTCCATGCCTGGTACACTGTCTACGTCCGGGCGGTGATACCTCTCGGTTGGTGGCCTTTGCGTAATTGTGCAGCTAGTGACATTTTATCTCTTCAGCTTGAGTAGGATATCTTCAAATTGAACTGGTTTTCGAGAATTGATTTTGCCCAGTCAGTAGCTTACGTTCATAAACATCGACTTTGGTTCTCCAGTTATTCATCTTCCCATTCATTCATAAATCCGTAGGCACTATACGCGACTGGTGCTTCTATTCCGCTAATCTCCGAAATCTTTTACCACGAGTTGCCCTTGTCGCCTGAGTATCTTTGTGGTGGGCACGTTCATCCCACATAGACCACGTGTGCAAGCGATCCCCGCTCAATTAGTCGACTATCCTCGTCTCGCGGGTCACGGATGCGAAACATACGACATCTAAAAACAAAAACTCAGACTTTGAAAGTGGCTGAACGGATAATCGTTGTGCATGCGTGATCTTTCACCACCACATTTTTCTCTTTCTCTCTTATGTTGCCTGCCTTCGATCTTCTGCTCTTCCCCTCATGCTCGCCTCCGTCACATCATACTCTGGAAGTCCTTCTGTAACATCTTCGGATCAACGCTGGTCAATTCGCTTCTGCATTAGTACGGCTGTAAACTCTTGGACATGAAAAGTTCTTCAGAAAATGAGAGAGCCGGCAGGAAAGGATGACTTTTTGTGGAATGTAGAATAGGAAACTGTTTCTGGGACTGTTAAGCCCCACCAGGGATCGAACTCACAAAACAACTTCTGTTCGATCATGTAGTCACAGTCTTTGAACTAAAGTGCTACGCCTGTATGATGGAAAAGAGATGATCAGTACAGGAAGATTCCGCTGGTATTGTGTGCAGAATCCATTTAAGCAGCCAAACGCCCCATTCACCAACAATCAAGCAAGTAAAACCCAACCAAACACGCGTCCTCCCATTCTCCTTATAGTCAACTGTGGAATGGTAGCCCACTGCACAGGGCAAGATAACGACTCACTGCCGAGATGTGTGGATGGAGAGAACATGCCAGAAATGATAACTTAGTTGCGAGGTCGCAGCTCGAATATGCTACGTATTTCCAGTACGTTCCACAGTTAAGACGAGTCCAGTGGGAGAAGGACCAAGGTGAAATGTTGGAGAGGGGGGGAGGCAATCCTTGAAGACACTCTCCGAGAATTCGGACTTGCACTTCAGAAGTCAGATCATCAGATGGGGATGGGTAGAATTGGTTAATGTTGATCCGAAGCTGGCGGGGCGTTCATGCTGGTGATTCCAGAGAATGAGAGGAAGGAGGCGAGAGTGGGGAGCAGAGCGGAAAGTATATGGAAAGGGGACACGAGGGAGCAAGAAAAGGACGGTGGGAGATCATCTTTCGGGGAAACGTTGGATCTTTTTTGGATTTTAAATTGTTTCTGCATCAGATCCGCGATGAGGACCATAGAGACAACGACTCTCCCCGCTATTAATAATCGCACATACTACCTCTTCCCATAATCCTACCCCACCCGCTGAATCGCATCTAATATGTTTAATTTCACCTCAACGTATGAGCATCTGTACGCAAACGGAAATGCTATTCCCGCTATTTTTTGTGGGCTTTCCCATTGGAATATATTGTTGAATTCAGGATATATGGTGGGTCCGTTCTTTTTGTCTATTTCCGGCTGCAGCATATACCGTGCAGAGTATAAACTCCATCGATCGAGGCTTTGCTAACGTTTCCGCTCCGAGGACTTGTTTTTGTCGGTGAGCCAGTATAGCTATTCCTAAAATCTTTCTCGAGAAGAACTATATCACATCACCGCCATTGATAGTCCCACACAGGACCGAGGAAGAGACCCGCCTGAAAACCGAACCTATCCACCATATGGCGACAAAAAACTTACTAATCACGTCCATGCCCTCATCCGTGAGAGCTTCTAATTTCGGTGAATGGCGTTTATTCTTGTTTGCAGGAGATGTACCGCACTCTTAGCCCATCGGCTTTTGAAGTACTTTTCGACTTTTTATTCTGTCGCGTCATCCCGGCGAGTGATGAGCTAGTCTACATCGACGCTGTCAACCTACTAAAAATATTCCACACTGCTGGAATGGACGTCTCGGTCCAGTCTCCGCATTGTTCTTTCCATGAGGCCTAGTTGCAAGGTAATCTCTGTTTTGCAGCCTCGAGAGGGTATTAGGGGCGAGTGCTTCTGGATATCTCACTGAATAATTCGTATTTACTGTCTTAGAGTCTAGTTCAAGAATCAAAGGCCTTCGTCGCTTCCCTTGGTGACTAAAGCTTTACTCTTCATAGTCCGTTTTCTTTTGTTGGTGCAGCGAATTGTGTTACCCCGCCATGTTCTGATTTTCCAGACCGGCTTAACATGAATGTCAACGGAGGGGAAGAACGAGTGTTGCGTGTGAGATGGAAGACTCCACTCTTCCATTAGGATACGGGGGTTCTGATTATGCCAAAATAGGACACAACGCTATTTAACTGGTTGTTTGACTGCATTGTAAACGATATTTGGGATCGAAGGCGGCCCAGCATTCTTCGATAAACAGTGTCTGAAACTCCTTCACCACCGTTCTAAGCATCGTCTAATACTAGAACGAGTGACAACCTCGATGGAAATTGAACGGACCCAAAAATAGTGGAATCGGCATGCGACACCCAGAGTTTCCTGGTCAGAATACATTGCGTTAGTCTTACCGCGTGTTTTCCCATCTGTAGCATAACGAAATACTCTATATGCTTCAGGGTGAAGGTCCTGCCTGGGTTGTATCTATCTCCATAGCTGATCATCCTTACCTTCGTCAACTTCTCATTCCGAAAGCGTCGTTGCTCACCCATATCTTCCACTGCGGGTTTGCCGTCGTTTCCAAGACGACGGAATCGCATGTCCCGCGAGGAAGGTAAGCCGTCATTTAGGGTGTTATTTCACTACGTCTTCTCTCACACTTTCTGTCTCAAAGCCACGTATGTTTCGGCTGAAAATTCCCGGAGACCGGCCTGAAGCAAGTCCTGTTACCCTAGAATCTCGTTGAGAAACGCCGATGGTGAAACGGTTATCATGCTTGCCTTCCACTGTTTCAAAAAATTTGGCATCTCTTCAGCAAGCGGTAGGGGTTCGACTTTCCTTCGGCGTATATTTGTGGGTGAATGTATTTTTCGGTCCCGGAACTAGTAACCAGCAACACCTGGTTTCATGCCTGATCATGAGGGGTTATTTTCTCGTCTTACCATGGCGCCCTGCTAATTTCACCGGACTCCCTCTTGTATTGCCCTCATTCTGCAAGATCATGGAGTGGTAATTAAAATCGCACCAGGTGCTAGGACTCCTCGCTAATCTCCGTTATCTTCCGCGAGCCTCATGTATAGAGCAACAAATATGCCTCCTTCATGTGTAATATTGGGGCGAGTATCCTTGCGATTAGCATGTCCTTTCCGTAAGAACTTGTTTGTCCTTCCCTTTCTTTATACGGCACCGCTGATATAATTCCTGAATCATCTTCTCAAATACTCGGACTTTCCCTGGAAGTGGCTGTTCGGATGATTGTGCTTGCTTCACCCTCGCGACCCTCGCACGTCATGTCAGTGAGCCTTCTTATCTACGTCTCACACGCACCTCCTTCGTTTTATTCTTCGTGATCTACTTGTAAAGGTATTATTTGCTTCTGAGTCGAGGAGAATAGGTTTTCCTGTCGATAACACAACGTTGACCCCGCAAAACGTCCGGTCACCATGGCCAAGAATGTAGAAACGACGCGTTCGAATACGAGATCAAAACGAAACAAGTCAGAGCAACCCGACCGTTTTCTGAAGGCGCTCGATCGAGCTGACCGGGAAATATACTCCAGAAATGGGCCACTTATGGCATAATGCAATGGCACACCATACTTCAACACTCCGTGACTTTTGCAGGCTCTCCAAGTCACTGACAATATGACGAAAATCTTCTAATACACCTTGCTGAGCGACAAGAAATTCTAGAACCCTTGTCTTTTTGAGTATTAATGGATACCTCTTGTATCCTCTTCAGTATACGCACAAGTCACTATTGATGCGATGGAATGATCCCGTCGCTTCTGCAGAATCATGCTCAATATGCATACCTTATCACCAAGGATAACTAAAAAATGCCTCTTAATTCTAGTCTCACGCTCCGGTCCAAACTGCGAGTGTTTCGCTAGGATAAAAGAGGATTTAATGCTCTTCCAGCTATCATAAGCAATTTTCCTTCTCAGGTTAGACCTACCGCAAGCACTGTAACGACGTGAGACTACCCGCTACATGACTGAATGCATATGGCAATGGAGTACCTAGAATGTTCCTCGTGAACGATAACTTCCAATAATGTAGTTATCATAGACAGGCTTCAATGCTAGTCATCTAGAAAGAGGAGAAGCTACTATTGAAGAAAAGGCTGGGGAGGTTTCTGTTACCGGGTAAGTACCATCAGAAATGTATGAGTTTCCCTGATGAATGGTAGATTCCAGCTTTGAACCCTTATTTCATGATGTTAGCTTTGGGGTGAGGTGATGATTCGTACCTCGGCGGGAATCGAACTAACGAAATGCAAAGCTGGGACTGGGAAGGAATGACCAGTCCGCGCTGTTTGTACCTATTGATCGGCGCCTAGGCTCTCATTCAACCTTCTACCACCATTCTCTCCCTTTGTACTATTTAGCGAAAAACATTTTGGCATATATTCATTGTCTTCTACAGCAGCTTTCCTGTCATCATATTGGTTTCCCGTCTGCCTAGAACCAGAACCAGGTGGGGAGGAGAATAGAGATCGGTGAGTAGCACTTTACTTTGTGCTGGTAGGAAGAATTCTAAACATGACAGTAATAGCAGTTAACGTTGGGCTGCACTCCTCATGATACTCCGTGCGGATACCCTCTGACACCTGAGATACCGTTTGAATGTCACCCAACTAGGAAAGGGAAAGGTAGATGCTCTATGACCCTGGATCGTTAAACTTCTGATGAGTATTGTCATTTTTAATACTGGTGGTGAGAATACGCGCCTTTTTTGCGTATGGTTCATGTTTCTGGGTTATAACGAGATATATCTTAGTTCTTTGGGACGAAACCTCGAACTTGCCCTGTTCCTCTACTAATGATCGTAAAACCTTCTGTTAGTTTCCTGTCCTTATGAAGAAATCGTCGGCTACGACTAGGTGTCTCCCAATATTAACCGCAACATCACCATTACTCCTTGTCGGTGATATCCTTCTCACATGATGCCAGTTTATATCATTGCGCGGTTCAAATGCCCTGCTAAAGCATGACATTCAAGGGGATTTAGTCAAGAAACTTCATTCTCTATCAGTCACTATATGTTTAAGGGTATTTTTCCACTAAATGTGGTCTGAATATCGACAAATGTGGCATACCTCAACTTTGAAGATCGTCTTTCTCCAGGCAAGCTTCTTCTCCATGCCCTTCAGTTCTCCGTCCTTGGTACGATGTACAGGTGCGTGATGTGATACCTTTATTATGTTCTTGGCCTTTGCGTAATTGTTCAGTTCGAGTAGGATATCTTCAAATTGAACGATTTTGGAGAATAACACGTGTTTTTTGCCTCGTTTTTTGGTTTCGATCTTAGATACACGTTTCTTGGATGTGAGGGCTTCAAGATCCGGTCAATGGATAATGGGAGGACTTGCACCGAATATCGAGAGTCTCTTGTGCTTGGTTTTGCCCAGTTGGTAACTTACGTTCCTAGGCATCGAGCTTGGTTCTCCAGTTCTCCATCTTCCCAAGGCGGACGTCTTACCCATTCATTCTTAAATCCGTAGACACTACACGCAACTCATGCTTCTATTCCGCTAATCTCCGAAATCTTTTACGATGAATTGCCTTTGTCACCTGAGTATCTTTGCGGTGGGCACGCTCATTCTACCTAGACTATATCTGCATATCATTTTCTGTTAAATTGGTCGACTATCGTCATTTTGCGGGTCAAGGATACGAAACATACGACATCTAAAAATAATGACTTGGGCTTTGAAAGTGGCTGTACGGATAATCGTTGCCGTTGCGCACAGTGATCTTTCACCGCCACTTTTTTTTTCTTTCTCTCTCATGTCGCCTGCAGTCGATCTCCTGCTCTGCCCCTCATGCTCGCCTCCGTGGTATCATACTCCGGAACCACCTTCTGTAACATCTTCGGATCAACGCTAATTATACACAGCCGAGGATTCTATTTCTTAGGCACAATCACTGGCTCCCGAAATGACGTTATCAGAATCCCGTAGGGAAATCCGTGTTCTATGTTCATAGCGCTTAGACTCATCAGCTATTGTCTACCCCCTCAATTATCCTATAATTCTTCATGTCCTTTCTCTCTCTCATCAGGCACGTTCTTCCGCATCGGTACTACAGTTTCTGTTAGGAATCCGGCTAATTTGACTAAGTACGATCCTTTAGTACTAGTTCAAGGACTATGCCGAAAGCGAATGTAGAATAATGAGTTCCGTTTTACCAAGAAGGCTCCGACCGAGAGTTTAGCAAGCGCTAGGCGTAGCTAAGAAGATCCGAAAAGCGCTTGGCGTAACCGACCTCCTTCACTTAGGTTCACACTAGGTCGTGGAGTTCAAGAAGTAAAAATTAGATATCCTTTGGGCGTACTACGATACTCGAATATATATTGTACTTGAGTGAAGGTTCTGGAAGATAATAGTCACAAGAATATACTGGAAGAGTATCGAAGAAGGTAGAAGGAGGAAAAAGAAGGAAAAAGAAAGAAAAGAAAAAGAAGGAAAATTCTATAATATTCGTGATAATTGGTACAGTAAGTGGTCGGTGACTGTTGACTAATGTTACCTGACTGATATCCATAACAGTTTCTCAATTGTGCAAGGTACTGGAAAAGCATACCAGTGGTGACTACATTTGGAGCTGCAACTTCGCGATTAACAGACCAGTTCATGTTTTCCGTATATTATTTCGGTTCGGTCCTGAATCATTATTTTGGGAGCCTTCTTCGCCACACGGAGTGGGTACCGTGGCGAAAAGCTGTCGTCTTGTTAATATAATCAACTGCGAGTGCAAAATGAAGAGAAGTAAGAGCCTTATCTATTCACGAAAAGCTTATGATATGGTAGTCTTTGATAATAGTTAATGGATAGTTGATTGTGGATGAATGGTAGAGCTTTACATGAAATTATGAACATTCTTTTAAAAATCTTTGTTAATATAAAAAATTAGAGTATAAAAAATATTAATTTGCTTAAGTGTTTAAAATTCCAGTACTAATAAGAATTTAGCTATTACTGTGGAGGTAAAAGGTTAACAGTTCCGGAGCAGAACAGCAAAGCTGATATCTAAATTTTATAAAGAATAGTAGGGAATTTGTAAGTTACCCTGCAATAGCTTTTAGTTAGGTAGATTGCGATTTTAAACAGACCCGCCAAGTACATCATCACGCCCAGAATCTCCATAGTTTCATTTTCGGCTCGTTCCGCAAGCTGTGCGACTCCGATGGATTAGACCTTGGGGCGCGAATCAGGTTACGGAGTGATGATCCGAGATGCTACCCGTAAAGCACGGTGAATGGGTGAGAGGTCCTGGCTCAAAATGGTACACATTATTCTTATTAAGCCACAATACACAAGGAGAACACGCATTTAATCAGCGATCAATGATCAGTTGCTCAACTTATTGCGAAGGAAACCTCCGGCTGTCTAAACTAAAACCAGATTAAGTTAGCGTTTCTAGAGTCTATTCTAATGATGTGGAATTGAACTATCCGGAGAATATACATGGGAAACCATATGATGCTTATTATACGAAGGAAATCTCGCTGTAGGACGTCTATTTTAGCACTTTGTTGATGTGGAACCCTAGTTCTGGTTGTGAAAATCAAAAGAGCAATTATTCTCTGGTCAGGGGCTCTAGGGAGGACACCGAACGTTGTTAACTGACTTCCTGAGTGCTACTCACGTTACACATCCACGTTGAATTTAAAACTGGTAATGTGTTACTTCGCTAGTTGGATAAAGCACAATGTGATTCCTCTTCCCACTGTTGTCGGCACAAATTTCTTCCCCACATAAAATCGCGTTAGACCTGCAGCAGGAGTAAAGTATGGATATAAGGCGCGAGTGCAATGGATTAGATCTATCCACTGCTTGTCCTAC